CCCTGTGAGACAGAAGCCATTCTAACAAATGTTTGTATTGGTTTCCTAAAAGGCAACTTCTGTGGTCTTGCTTGTGTTGGTGTTTCCCTAGACTGACTTGCTTGAGCTGGGGTTGCCCTTGGCTAAGTTCCTTGAGTTGGTGTTGGTGTTTCCCTTGGTTGAGTTCCTTGAGTTGTGGTTGATATTGCCCTTGTATTTTTTTCCTTGAGTTGGTGTTAGTGTTGCCCTTGATTGAGTTCCTTCAATTGTGGTTGGTGTTGCCCTTATCTTTTTTCCTTGAGTTAGTGTTGGTGTTTCCCTTGATTGAGTTCCTTGAGTTATGGTTGGTGTTGCCCTTGTCTGACTTCCTTGAGTTGGTATTGCTCTTGGTTGACTTTCTTCAGTTGGAGTTGGTGTTGCCCTTGGCTGATTTGCTTCTGTTGGTGGTTGAGTCCTCTTACAAGTGGATTTATTATATCCAGACTGTCTACACCTTGTGCACCTAAGTATCATGCCAATTTTTCTCATTTTTCTATTTGATCCATCAATTTCACCCTGCTCACGGTTCCTCCTCTTCTTTAGTCTTCCTGGCATTTTTTTGAATTTTGTGGTTAGACATCTAGGTACTATGTTCTGACCCATAAATTTGTTCCATTAATCGGATAAATAATAGATTCATAAACATAAATATACCTTAACTTCTTATAACACTCTGGGATGTAATCATCAACACTTAGATTTCTACTGTTTATTGCAGACAGAGCATGAACACAAGGTAGACAAGTCAATCGCCATTTTCTGCATGAACAATCATGTTCCTTCAAGTTGACAGCAAAAATATCACCTTGATTCTCAATGTGTCTTACTTCAAATGTAAACTCAGATGACATCCTACAAAATAGTATAAAAAGTCATATAAAGTATAAAAACTAAAGAAATCATTTGTATTGAAACAATTTTTGTACCTTACTATCCAATAATTTGTGCAACTTCTTGTTTTTTCAACTTTCCTCCTGATGTTTGGCAAAACATCCCCATCATTTAATTGTGAGAATTTCACCCTATTTGTTGCCCACCTTTCAATGATGTATCCCTGTCATACCTTAATTTTGTCCTGGTATTTTAAATTTTTCATGTATTTGAATTTATTTTTACTTTGCATAGCATAGCATGCATTTTATCTCGCATAGTGCTTAAAATGTCACACGAAATAATTTCTCAGATTTACAGGCAGACCGGTCAAATTAAATTTCAACTGCGCGTAAAATCAATGGATGGAAAATTTCAAAATCGAGCTTGCAGACGTCAATTATATTAATCTATGTTTCACATAGTTTAACCTGGCGTGTTCGTTTTAATTTTTCGACCATTTTTCGTCACATTTTGATCAGTCTGAACATTTTAACAGGTCAAAATCTATTTTTAAATATGACCAAGCGCTGTATTTTTCCGAGTCATTTATTTCACGCTGATAATTTTGTTGTATTCGGTTTATTTTTTTGAGCACTCGGGCTCCCGACTTTTATTTATTTGGGATCCGTTTATTTTTACATTTTTTTGTATAAATATTTAATATAAATAAATAGGATAATTAATATTTTATTTTAAAATTTTATTTTTATTTTAAATTTAATATTATTTAATTTTGACTTTAAAATAAATATTAAGGACATTATTGAGATCCACTTTTTTATTTTTATTTTATAACAGTAAGCATTACCATTTTTCCCCTCTCATTCTCGTACCGTCACATGTGGATCTCTCATTCTCGTACCACTGCTTGTATATGGTTTTCATGTTTTACTGATATATATCTAATGTTCCAATATATTATAACATAAAATTCATGTTTTATTATATATATAATATATGACAATCTGTTATATAGCCTATGGAGATCCATGTTTCACTGTTTTGTTATTTGACTGTTTCAATTGAGATTCACGTTTTATATATATATATATATATATATATATATATATATATATATATATATATATATATATATATATATATATATATATATATATATATATATATATATATATATATATATATATATATATATATATATATATATATATATATATATATTGTTTATTATTAGATTGTTCGGATCGAATAGTGTCAATACGCTATTTGCATACTGGTGTGCATAATGCGTGACATTCGTGTTAGTTCGATCAGATTGTGTTCATTGCATTTTTTTGCGTTAGCAACGTTGTTGATTTTCTTAGCACGTCAAATTTACTTTTTATTTGCATTTTTTTATAAATTTAGATACATACAATTTTTGGTCTTTCTTGCGATGATCACGTCAAGTGTAGCAAGTTAGGGGCGAATTTTATCGATTTATATGCGATGTTCTATATTTATCCTTGTATTTCGATTTTACACGCGTCTGATGGTTTGACCTAGCGGCAATCCGCTTGATGTGCACCGACCTGCTCGCGTTTCGACTTGCAATTTGTGATTTTTTTAATTTTATTATCTCGTTGTTTCTTGATTTAACTTGTGATGACTGCTAATGCGGTAGCAATTTGCTATTTCATTCATATTATTTTTTAATGATTCAACTTCGTTATCGTTATGTTCAGATCCGATCTAATTTCTCTTGGTGGCTTTGCATGTCTTCGCGTACGCGACCTTGATTCGCGTATTTGCGTCATGATTTTAAATGTGCATTTTTCTTGTCAATTTACGTTTTGATTCATTTGATGTGTGATGTTAATATTGTGTATGCACCTCATTCCCGTTCACGCCTAAATTGCTTTTAAAACTAATTCTTGACTTAATCAAGCCATTTTTAAATCTTTGTAAGTCGATTGTTTTTTAGCATCGCTATCAACCTCATGCCAACATTTTCTCTCTTTCTTTGGTTGTGGTTTCGTTTACTATGAGCACTCTTATGGACTAGGAATCAACCTAACTTTTTCTCAAACCCTTGATCCAACTTTAAGTGGTTACTTCCCTCATAAGTTGGTTGCTTTTTGCAATCACCATCACACAAATTCAAACCTCGATCTTTTATCGAGTATTTTTTTCTTAAAACTAAACTCTCTTTTTCCAAAAAATCCAAAAATACTTTAACTTATCTCTAACCTCTTTTTCAAATTCTAAAAGAAATTTAACAAATATTAAACATTTTTGCCTGTTGGGTTTTCGTTAAAAAAATTTTCAAAAAGGGCATGTTGTCTAGCATCGTCCATAAAAAATACACAACAAACCAAAAACATTTTCAACACGAACTACGGAGTTCTGATTCTCTCTGGGATACGTAGGCATTGGATTGTAAATTCGGACGAGCTCAATAATAAAAAATTTCATTTTCTCTCAAGTAATCACCTTTCCCCTTAGCAAGCTAGAAGATATCAAATACCTTTCATGTCTAGACAACTTAGATGGTTCCCATCGAGTACGATGGACGTATGGAGTGCTAGTACCTTCTCTTTACATAACCGATTTCTGAACCCAATATGGTTGCGATGATCATACCCTATCCTTTTCCCCGTGAGTTTTCTCGATATTTTCCCTTTCCCTTTGTGGAATAAATAAAATTCACTGGCGACTCTCTGTTAGTCTACCCGTGAACTTTCTTCGCGAGGTCGTATTTTTCGAGGTGCGACAATCTCCTAATTTCTTCTAGCATGGTCACCAATGGCTTTGCTATTGACTCTACAATCACACTATTGAATGCATCTGACATGTTATTCAATACAGAGTCACACTTTGAAGTTGTCCTAAAATATGATTTGCTCCAATATCTGAGTGGAGTCTGTATCATGTGCTTGTAAGCCTCTTCATGTATCTGTCTCATACCTTTCATCTCCCTTTCCCATGCTTGTGGGTAAGTAGCTCTAGCAGCCTTCCAAATTATCTCCTTCAATATTTTTTCTAGATACTTCTTCCTAAAATTATTGTATAAGTTTCTTACACAAAATCTTTGTTCAACATTGGATAGTAATTCATTCATTACAGGAAGAAGACCCTGCAAAATTAAACCAAATGATGGGGACTACATAGATTTACTAGATACATCATACTCTAACTGAAAATGTAAAAAAATAGAGTGGTATCTTTTGCTAATCAGAAATGAATGTATATGTTCTACATTCTTCCCTACCACCTAGATCATCAATGAGAAGTTCCAAGAACCACGTCCAACTGTCTTTAGTTTCCCCTTCTACTACAACAAAAGCTATAGGTAACATCTGGTCATTGAGATTTGTACCAATGGCTTCCAAAACCTGACCTCCACAAAGCCCCTTTATGAAGCATCCATCAAGACCAATAATAGGCATAAACAACTTGAAACTCTTTTTGCAAGCAGCATAAAAAATATATAACCTATTGAAATAAGGCATTATATCCTCAACACTTTCTTGGACTGGTGTGACATTTAACTTGATAGTTGAACCATGATTTGTCCTTAGAATTTCATGACAGTAATCATGTATCCTTGTGTAATCCCCTAAAAATGAGCCAGCAACCATATCCCTAGCTGCAAATCTGGCCCTAATTGCCTTTGTATTATTAACCCCCATATTTCATTTCTTTTTAGCCTTTTCCTTTATATCCTTTAGCTTCAGCTTAGGATTATTTTTCAATGAATTTTGTAGCCTCTTGCTAAGCCATTTTGTACTCATCATCTTTACATTATATTCCCTAGAGCAATTGTGGTTATCAACTATTTTCCTTAGTTTCCAAGTCTCCTCATTAGGAAACTTTCCACAATATGCCTCCCACTGGAAGCCTTCCTTACACACCACCTTCACTCTCTTTTTGTCATTTTTCAAAAACTCAAGACCTCTACCAGATTGGACAGCATACGTTTGAATTGCTTCCTTAAAGTCACTTTTTGAGTTAAAATAAGTTCCCAACTCCCATTTATAATGAGCCATATCTTTCAATAACTTAAAAATGGGATACTTCTTCTACCTTGGTTCATTACTCTCTCCACTATCATATCTACTATCTAACTCCTCACTATCATATAAACTCTCATTCTCCTTTCCACTGTCTCATTCCCATTTCTTTTTCTTCTTTTTACTTGTTTCTTCATGGCTTCCATCATATTCAACAAGATTGTCTAAATGTTCTTCAGAATAATCCACACTCATACCAGAATCACTAAATGTAACTTCCAAAGCACTATCATAATTGTAACTCTCATCCTCACTGTCTTCAGAGCTTTTAATCTCATTCAACAAACCAGCATTAGTATCCATAACATCATGAACCTCACCATCATTGTTCACACTCTCACCTATATTCATACCCTCAACACCATTATTGTTCACACATTCACCTACATTCATACCCTCAACACTATTGTTGTTCACACCTACATTCGTACCCTCAACACCATTATTGTTCACACCTTCACCTACATTCATATCCTTAACACCATTATTGTTCACACTCTCACCATTAGTACCTACTTCCGTATCCTTTATAACTTCTTCATAAAAATATTGAAGGATGGATTCTACCTCCGGATTAACCATATTTAATGGTTCTTCATCTATGGCTTTTTCCTCCATCATGTTTATAGGATTTTCAACGTATTCTGGTTGAGATAACGAATGTTCTATGTAAATGTCAACTTTTAAATGTACCCTACAAAGGTCAGCTACCTCTAACGCACCCTTATCATCCTTAAGAACATTTATTCCAAATGTGGGGTAATTGTAATATATAGTGTCTACCTCAGTGTAACCTAAATCTTTCAGAACATCAACCAATTCAAAGTATGACCACATATCCACATCTATCTCTAAATCATTACATTTATCCCCCACATAATTAGTTTTTTCAGAGTCCACAAACTCACCACTATGATGAATTTTCAAACACAAAATTTCTTCCATTTCTATCTAAGACAATAAAACGCAACATTACATACAAGAAAACGTAACATAATAGCATATTTCAAAAGGGAAAAAAATCCTAGATACCTAATCAGATCAAGAAAACGCAACATTTAGACACATTCATAGTAGACAAGGACGTGTAAACTAACAGTCGTCTATGTTGCGTCTTCGTCTTCCTCGGGTTGCTTCTTCTCTCTTCGTGCTCTTCGTCTTCCTCAGCTTGCTTCTTCTCTCTTCGTACTATCTTAGAGCTTTCTATTTTAACACATGTTTTAATCAATGAAAATGCTAATATTATGCTACTTCAGATGACACATCAGCAAGGCCAATACTCATCATGCCACATAACCAAACCATTCATTACACCTCAGCAATAACTTAACACGCCAGCCAGGCTTTTGATAATAATCTAACGTTTCTAACAGACAGGACTAATGTGGTATCATTTTAATAACGTAAGGGACCAACTTGAAACTTTTAAAAGGAAGATGAGCAAAATAGACCCATGACATTTATATCAACAACATAGATGTTAGCCGCTAGACCTTTCAACTCACTTGTTTATTTCATTGGAATAAATTTATATATTAAATATAAATTTATATATTTTCAACTATTAATATTTAATATTTTACCTATTAGTTTATTGAATATTTAAAATTTCAACTATTAATATTTAATATTTCAAATATTAGTTTATCAAATATTTAATATTTCAACTATTAATATTTAATATTTCGACTATTAATATTGAATATTTCAACTACTAATACTTATATTAATTAGTAAATAATTAGTATTTAAATATTATTTACTAAAGTATTTTAATATTTAACTATTATAATTAAACAACTTTTATTTTACTAATTCGACTATTTTACTAGTTTAGTCTATATATTAATTTAATAATTCAACTATTAAAATACTTATATATTAAAATAATATTTAAAGACTAATTATTTTACTAATTAATAAATAGTTCATAAAATAGTTTATTAAAATAGTACATATTAAAATACTTATATATATATAATAGTTCATAAAATATTTATGATTAAATAGTTTATAAACAATTTTATGAACTAAATAAGTGCAGTATTTATATATTAAATAGTTTATTAAATAGTTCAACTATTAATTATTTAATTAATTAAATAAATATTTTATTTAGTTTATTAAATAAATAGTCTATTTAATAATTCAACTATTTCAATTATTAATTAGTTTATTAAATATTTAATTAATATTTAATAATATTGTGATAAATACTTATTTAAATAGTTGAAATAAGTATTATTTGTAATAAGTTTATATTAAATAGTTTATTAAACAGTATTATATATAATAAGTATTATTTATGATTAGTTTAGTTATAATAAGTATATTTATAATAAGTATCAACTTTATAATTAATATTATTTATAATAAGTATTATTTATATGTAATACATTAATAATAAGTTTATGTATTAATATGTAATTCATTATAATAAGTATTATAATAAATATTAAGTGTAATATGAAATATAAGTGCAGTATTTATAATAAGTATTATATGCGATTTCTTAATAAGTGAAAAAAAATGACTTATGGAGAGAGTAGATCGTAGTATATATGAAGCATATACATGAGATTATGATCTCAAGTTTAGTCTGTGTCAGCTCCAATGAAAAGGACACACACTTTTTTGGTTTAGTAGACAACACTGCTTGTGTTTGACAATAGACATATTAGACATGTTTTTAAACGTACAAGAATTCTTTGAGATGATATCAATGTTGTTGTCACATAAACTAGTCATGTTAGCATTATGCTTTCAAGAAAGAGATAGAAATACAGAAAAATTGCAAAAGATGTAAGATAGCTTCTGCAAAGTTTAGGTGATGATTAGCAATCTTCCTTTGTGATATTCTCACATATTGAAACTAATAGCATAAAAATATGAGATGTTCAAGAGATCACTATATCTATATAGCGAATTGATGTACAACAAATGATTGATCCAGACTACATCAAATCATAATGTACAAAAAATTCAATATAAATACATTAATAATTAAACTATATCTGGACCGATGGCTTCATTCCCAATACCACAACTTCGATACTGTCAAATGACAATAAATATTTCATGTGTTAGGCGCCGCGAGGCAGAATGCACCATTAGTTTCTCCAAACCTAAAATGCATTACAAGTTGTTAGGATGAAGCAAATTGATGAGCAGATCAAAACAGTAATGGCAGGTAATACAAGAGCAAATCAAGACCAGATGGTTCGTTCTAACACAATGATTATTGAAATCCTTGAAAGTAAAGAACACCAGAGTGGCATAGTCAATAACACAATCCTACCTAGCCTAGTTATTGAGGGGGAAATGGGAGACTCTAAACATTTCCTGCAAGACTTTGCCTCTTTTTCATCATAATTTAAATCCACAAGTAGAAAAATCATCTTGTGTAGGAAGGAACAGCCTAAGCTAACTAAAAGCCCTACACTTGTTCCATTCCATATGAAAATAACAGCTTTAAAATGCAAGAACAAGTGTCAAGCTGTTTCTGAAAGCAGGTTAATACTGCCAGCACAATACACAACAAAACTAGGGCCGTATTTGAGGGCATGTAAGGCAGGCCACTGCACTGAGCCTCAAATTTGTCAAAATCAAACTATAGTTAAATAGGGTCTCATAAAATATTTATTAGGTTAAATCGTAATTTAATAGGGCCTCTATTTGCTTTGTAATGGTTAAACTGTAACTAACCTACTCAGAACCTCCAAAAACTTGAGACGGCTCTGAACAAAACCACTCCTAAATACCTATGTTCCATTATGGCATAGAGCACCCTAATAGCAACCGACCAGCTGTTACATATTGAGCAGGAAAACCATTACACAATAGTACCACAGCCATTGCTTAACAAAACTATGTAATTTGATACAAAAGACTCAATTTTTAACTTCAGAATCAGTTTACCGAAAATATATCTAGGAATGAGCAACAAAAATGAGAAGTGTATTTACAAGAAAACAGTCCAAAATGAATCTGATGTCAAAATTCTCATCTCTTGATTGGCACAAAAATAAACAGAAGAATATGATACAGTAACCACCCTCCTAGTTTTCCTAATATTTGAAACTTCAAAAGAGAATCTTGAAAAGAATGCTTTCAATCAGTAAATTGTGCAACAAGAGAGAGCCTATAAAAGCAACCCAAATCAACCCTATTCAAGATTACAAATATGCAATACTTTGGGCACAAGAGAACTCTCTCTTCAAATGTCCAATCATCTCTCTACTAAAACAGAACAAACATTTCTAGAAGCAAGCAACATAATGAAATGAATCACTCACTAACTATATTAACCCAAAAATATTAGTATAACCACATTCCATGCATTATACATTAACAAGAACAACAAAAATAAAAACCTAACAACCCTTTTTCCTAAGATCCATTCAAGTGAGTTAAGAAAGTTGGTAAGATCCAAAACCCTATGAGAATAGAAAATGGGTGAGAAGGAAGAGTGTAAAAAATGTACCTTTGAAGCGAAAAACATGCGTTGGGGATGCCATGGCAAGAGTGTGCATTAAGTGAAGCTTGAGAAAAAGTGAAACTTGATGAGAGGTGAGGTGAGAGTATTAGTATTATATTAGTGGCATAGGCATAGGTTGTTTTTGTTGTTGTTTTATTTCCGTATTCCGAGGTAATTAAATTTGGTTAGTGAAAATGAAAAGCCACACACCTTTGGTTTCTGTTGTTGTGTGCTGACATGATGGCACGAACTTGGATTTCCCGCAATTGATTTAACTTAACACTAATGTGAAACAACTAAACAACACTTTCTTTTAATTCACACACACAACTAAACAACACTTTATTTTAATGCTTAATGCAATTCACACACACAACAATAAAGTCTTTAGATTTGGTTACTCTCTTCCGTCCTCAAGACATTTTAGGACTAACACTTTCTACAACTTGTAAAAGATTAAAGATTTTTGTTTTTTTATTAAACCTAATAATTTCTTTTAGTTATTTAATTACTTTTATTTATAAGTATTTTGTGATCGAATCATGAGGAGAAAAAATATTTTGTGTTTTTGTCTTTTAGAATTAATACTATCTTTTTAATTATTTAGTTATGTTGTTATTTATAAATAAAATACAAATGTTACCATTTAATCATGATATTAATTTAATATTTAATTTTAGAGTTAAATATTTAATTTTTATCTTGCATTAGATATAAAATATTAATATTTTATATGAACTAAAATTATATTTAATTTATAATTTTGATATAAATAGACTATTGGTAATTATAAATTGTATTATTAATTTTAATTTTCTAAAATTTAATTTTTTTTTTATATTACTCTTCTTAACATAAAAGACCTTTAAAAAAATTAACAAATAAAAAAATTTAGTTTAATAAAAAATAATACAATAAAGGTAATAACGTGATTCATCATAGAAAGACAATGCATGATTAATATATTTCTATTAGATGACAATGTAAAATTATTATTAAACTCTTTTTATTTATAAAATCCTTCATTTATGAGATAACTCAATCCTAATAAAAACGTAAATATTTTACTATGGCTTTATTATTAATTTAATAACAAATTTTAAAAATATCTTAGAACATAAAATATTTTAACTATGGTTGACGAACAAAAAAACTTGATTTTAATATTTGCTTTAGGTCTCGCATTTTATCGAAATATGGAACGATTGAGTTGCGAGTCCAAAATCTAAGTTTGTTTACAAATGTATAAGCTATTTCATTTGCCCTGAGTGGGTGTTGTGATGTTGTTTCGTGTGATTTATCCTCATCCCGAAGTTAAAGAATTTATAAATCTTTAGACCAATCATAAATACATAGATGAATATCGCTAGAAATAAATGAGTTATTGATCTATTTGACGGCAAAGCCAAAACTCGATTCATTAAGGTAATTTTTGTTATTGAGTGGAGTCAATAGCGGAGGTGAACAT